ATCAGGAGATTGACTTGGCCATTGCAGAATATTCCACTTTTTTACCTTCAAAAACCCCTGGGTTGCTTTTGCTGTATGTTTTGGGTCATTGTCCATTTGTACTATGACGCGCCACTCAATCAACTTTGCTGCATTTGGCAGAATTCTTCCGGCTGCTTCTGTCTTCTGTCACATCTTCAGTAAACACCAGTAATCCAGTGCCACTGGAAGCCATGCATGCTCATGCCATCACACTGCTCCACCATGTTTCAAAGATGATGTTCTATGCTTTGGAACTGAGCTTTTCAGTGCCTTCTTTATACTTTTTTCTTCCCGTCATTCTGGTACAGGTTGATCTTAATTTCAGCCGTCCAAAGAATGCTTTTCCAGAAGTGGTCTGGCTTTTTTTAGATTAAATATAAAAGGTCTTTAATTCAAATTAAAGATCAGAGTGTGCACATTAAGCCCATATTCATTATTTAACTGTAACTTGAATATGTTTTGGTCAGCAGCTAAAATAATAAAAATTGTGCCTGTGTCCAAGTATATATGGACCCAACTATATGTGTATATATACATGTATTGTTTTTTTTTAACATACTTTACAATATAATTTATATCTGTGATGCCAATACATACATAAAGATTAATTTATAAAGGATCATATGATGCTGAAGACTGAAGAAATGACTTTTCTATGAAAATAGAAAGCAGTTCTTTTAAATTGTAATAATAATTTGACAATTCACATGTTTACATTTTTGTTTCACATAATTTTCACATTTCAATGTTTTAATTTATTTTTAATTTTAATATATAACATTAAATATTAAATAATCTCACACCTTTACTAGTCTGAAATGTTTTTTTTACTTCCATTGCAGTGTGTCAATTACACAAAAGCAGAAGTCCACAAAGCAGACTTTTGTACCCTGTAGGAGGACATCAGTCCAGAGCTCTGGGACGGTTGAAACCACAGAGTCTGTAAAAAAGGGCCCTAAAAGCATCAAAGCCAGTCCTAACAAAAGCTCAGCTCAATCTCAAGAGGAAACCTACAGGGTATGCAAACTGCACTGCACAGGTCCAACATTTCTCTTTATTAAGCAAAATGAATATTTGCAAAGAGTAAAGTGCGTGTGTTTACATGCAGGCAATTGTGGAAGAGCGAGACCAGGAGCGCGAGCGGCGCTGGAAGGCAGAGCAGGCTGCAAAGAGACTTTCTGAACAGGTCAAGAACTTGCAGACTCGAGCCAGCGAGGAAAAGGACTTGCAAAGTTTGGCCTTACACAACACAGACAGGTGAGGGCATGTAGAGTCCTCTGTTAATATTGAGAAATATAGTTTCACTTTGTCTCTTTGTTCTGTTTTACTTTTGCATTGAAACCAGTGTGAATAAAATTAATGCAAATTGAGCAGCCTAATTAAGAGTCCTACTGTTGAGAGTCAAAGTAATATATATATTTATATATTACCAACAAACGCAATTAGCTGCAACATCTATTATCTCACTCATTCAAGCACTCTTTTCCATCAAGGACACCTTAACAATCTTCAGCCATCCAAGTGTTTGGAGAGAATCTTTGGTTTGACGTATTGCACCTAATTGGTGTCAGCTCCAGCTGAAATGTTGGATCTGAATACACTTGAGTATAATTCAATTTTATTAGAAGTTTCCAGAGACCCTAGTGCAGGGCCCTGATATATGAAGCTCTGCCTTCCCACCTGCATGGCAGTTTCTGTGGCGTGATGACGGCCCTGATATTGTGCTCTAATATTATAGCCCACACACTCCGTCTGGTGATAAATCGTAATTATAATGGAGATTAAAGTCATGGTGACAGGCACATGTCTGCCGCAGATCATCAATCAATCCTAATTGCCACCCCTGCAGCACTTTGCTGCTAATGACTCTCGCCTCACAGTCCAGTGTCTATTTTGTTAACTCTTCGTCTGCTGAGTGTGTGTGAAATTAGTGTAATAGTGTCATGTATTAATTGTCATTAAACAGAAGTTTTAGTGAGTTATTAATTTATTACTATTGTGGAATGTATCGGCGATGTAGCCTAGTATGTAGCGGCAACATGCTGTGCCTTTGTGTCATTCAGATATTCTGTATTGTATTTGGTTTAAAAAATTATTTTTGACTCATTTCCTTATATATATATATATATATGTATATATGTATATGTATATATATATATATATATATATATATATATAGAGAGTGATCTCACCTGTCTTTCTCTCACACATCTATGCACTCTTTTCTTTTTCCTCTTTATTATCGAGAAAGGATAGCCATGTCCAATAGAGAGACCTCTTCATTATTTTTCTATATCTATCCCTCTCTTTTCTGTCTCTCTGTCTGTCTCTCTTTGACTGGCATTTTTCAGGTCAACTCACACAGAAAGAAGTCTAAAAGGGGTCTAAAAATATCTTTATAATGCATCCGCTGACAAAAATGGTTTGTTTCATGAAGTTACACTCCTTTTTACAGTACTTTTCCACTTCTATCTGCCCCTGCTTGGTTTCTGTTTAGACAATTTTGATTCAGCAAAGTTTTATTAAATTGATCAAAAGTGACAGTAAGGATATTTATATATATATATAAATGCTGTTCTTTTGACCTTTTTATTCATCAGAGAATCCTGAAAAAAAAAAATGTATCATGGTTTCCAAAAAGCTGCACAGCTGTTTTCAACATTGACAATAATAAAAAATGTTACTTGAGCACCAAACTAACATATTAGAATGATTTCTGAAGGATCGCATGATACTGAAGACTAGAATAATGGCTGCTCAAAATTCAGCTTTGCCATCACAGGAATAAATTCTAATTCTCCAAAACTCCAAACTTTTGAATGGTAGTGTACATGAATATGCATGGTGAAAGAATGAATTTTCCAAGATATTTTGAAAAAGCAGCTCTGATCTGTCTTATTCCTTTAGGTTGAAGGAGATGTTGTTAAAAGAGCGCTCTGATCGGGCAGCATTGCAGACTCGTTTGCAGGAGTTGGAGGAGAGATACAGGTCTACGTTAGAGCAGCTGGAGCAGGTGCACAACCGGGAAGACCAACACAAGAAGGCGCTGCGCAGTCTGGAGGACAGCATGACCAAAGCAGAGGCCCTCAGGGTCCAGCAGCGTGCAGAAGAGGTAGAACAGTTGCAGTCCATATCTTCAGTAGTGACGGATCCATAGCATGAACTGAGTGCTCCAGTATACTGTAAAGAGTGGCACAGGTTCATGTCTGAACCATACATCCAGTCTTCATTGAGCTGACAAGAACTATTCCTACTTACAAGAATGCTTAGACAGTGAAATACTGGTAGTCATCTAAAGGGCATTTTCTGTGGGATGGTTCCAGAAGCAGTTCCCAGATAAATATACAGGCATATGGCTGAATTGCAAACATGTTTCAATTCCTTTTTGACATTTGAATCCTTTGAATTGTGTTAGAGGAATATTTACACCTGACCTTTTGCATGTGTTTGAACGGCTGCCATGAGAAAGCTGCTACTTGAGCAGTTATCTACTTATAAAGTGAAAAACACTCTTCAAAATAAAATTGTTTTCTATATAACATTTAAAGCGAATGACCTGCTATATTATTTCAGATGAAGAGGACTCGGGAGTTAGAGAATAAAGCATCTGCCTTAAAAAGGGAAGTTGAAATAATCCGCGCATCGGCTCGACAGCACAAAGAGAAGATGCAGCAGTTGCATGAACTGTTGACTTCTAGGGAGGATATGCACAGGTACACAAGCACCACATGGAATCGTGTCCATGATCATTTTATACAAAGAGTGACTGCCTGAAAATGGTTCAGTTTACAAACAGGAAATTTCAACTGTTTCATCTTTCACCTGTTTGACTTTGTGGGACAGGAAAGAGCTTGCAACGCGGCTGCTTCCTGGTGGGACTGAGTTTAAGGAGGCTGTAGCCAAAGAGGTGGTGGTGATAGAGCAGAGATTTGCTCAGAAACAGACTGATTTGGAAGAGAAGATCTCTGATGCTAGGAGACAGTATGCTGCTCTAGAGGATGAATTTCGTATGGCTCTCTCCATTGAGGCAAAGCGTTTCTCAGAGGTAAATCTAAATTGTGGGGTAATATTTTTAGTCTGAAAAAACAAACAAACCGCAAACAATTTACATTTTTGCTTGGATCGATGCTAAATTTGAACCAGCTGAGGAGGAGAACAGTTATTTGTAAAACTTTTTAAGTTAAATGTATCGACTTTGAGAAAACAGAAATAAACAACAGTAATGATGTGATTGTCAGTGCAGTATTTAAAATCAGTGCTGTTTTAGTATTATGTATGTACTATTATAGCTTTTAGTAATATTTTGAATAATTTTATATTTTTATATTTTATTTTCTGTTCTTTTGTCATACATTTTTTCCCTAATTTTTTCTGAATAGTTTTTATTTTTATTTCATTTTTTTTCTGTTAGTAGTAAGTTTAGTACTTCAATTTAAAATTATTTCAGTTTTTTTATGTAACATTTATATTTTTGTTCAGCTGTATTTCAGTTAACAAAAATGTTGAATAGTTTTAGTTAACAATACTGCCTGAAATGTCAAAAATGTTAATGACACGAGCCCCAGATTTTTCAGACTGGTTACCCTTACTGTGTGTGTGTGTGTGTGTGTGTGTGTGTGTGTGTGTGTGTGTTTGTTTGTGATTTGTAGGTAAAGGAAGGGTTTGATCAGGTATCTGCTGAACTCTTAGACGTGAAGTCAAGTCTCAGCTTGTCTCAGCAGAAAGAGAAGCAGTCAGCCTCTTTGGTGCAGGAGCTCACAGCTATGGTGAAAGAACAGAAAACACGCATTGCTGAGCTCCTCAAAGCCAAGCGAGAAGCCGCCGCTGAGTTCAAGGTATGACCAAAAGATTTTACTTACAAAAAGTTCTTGATTTTTTTGTGTCCTTTGTGGATTTTTGTCAAATCATCACATATCAGATTTCAATCACTTCTTAAGTAATGCTTTATAAATCACATGCTCCGTTTTTGTATGCTAGACCCGTGTACACTCATTGGAATCCAGGTTAGAGGACGATAAACGATTTAACCTACAGGTGGAGCTACTGAAAAAGGACAAGTCCAAGCTGCTGTCCCAGCTTACTGCTCACGAGTCTGTCATAGATGGACTACGGGCAGAGAGGAAGATCTGGGGCCAAGAACTTGCACAGCAAGGTACTTCAGTAACTTCAAGAAAACTTTAAGAACGTATAACCCAGACATAGCTAATTTTTGTATTTGTCCATTTATTTAGGTGCATCCTTAGCGCAGGACCGTGGTCGACTGGAGGCCAGAATTGAGGTTTTGTTAGGCGAACTGGAATCGCAGAAGAAGCAGAACGAGAGAGACAATGATGCACTCAGGATTAAAGCTAAGATTGTTGATGACCAGACAGAGACTATTCGTAAACTAAAAGAGGTAAAGTCCTACTTACTCAAAAAAACTATAAACTAAGATATAAATTAGATAGAAATAAAGTTTATATTTATTGTGGTTCAAATCTATCAAAAATATGTAATTACATCTGCTAATTTAATGCATTAAGTACAAAATAAAATAGTCTAAGAGAAAAATCTCATGTGTGATAGTGTCAGTTTTCATCGCCTGGCTCACTTTTCTCTGACATGTTGCTTCTATAGGCATTGCTGGAGCGAGATGAGCAGATCCGTAAACTTCGTGATGAGAATGTGCAGGACCAGCGAAAGCTGAAGCAGCAGCTGGAGGAGGAAATGGCCTCTGCAGTGGAGCTCAGAGACACAGTGGAGCAGCTCAGCATCAGGAAGGAGGAGCTGAAACAACAGCTCCTTGATAAGGAGGCGGAGCTTGATGAGGTTAAAGAGACATACAGGTATGGAATAACCCTGGTTAAACTGCAAACATCTCATGATTCCAAGCTTTCACCCTAACTTATTATTATGGACAGTATGTCATTGTTTGAAAGGGTGTATGCTGATGTCTCACAGCATCACACAGTTGCTTAGTAATATGTTAAATATTTGTAATTTTGCAGGGCCTCAAGTAAAAAATGGCAGGAAAAGGCAGAACTGTTGAACAGGCTTGAAAGCCAGGTGAAGCGAATGAAGGAGGGTTTTGATTCCAAAGAGAGAGCACTGATAGAGGAAAAAGACAAGGCTTTACAAGCACACCGGTATGAGATGGGCAGCAGGCCCTAATTTGGCTAATGAAGTATATACAGTATACAGTGGTATACATTTGAAACTTTTTTTTTTAATTAGAGCGGCAGTGGAGAAGCTTCACAGTGTGGATGATGCCTTCCGTAGACAACTGGAATCTCTGCAAGCTTCCCATCAAGCTGAAATACTTAGTCTTGCAAATGACAAACAGAAACGAATAGAAAAGGCCAACCAGAAGGTATTACCGCCACTAAAGTATTGATTTATATGTATTGATTCACTGTATTGTCATTTATATTGCTAGTGTTGGTACATGCAGGCAAACTGCTAGACCAAAGTGAGCAGACTAGAATGAGTTGTTTTTAATTTAATGTCTTGATGAATTGGATGATTGACTGGGAGAATGCTTTCTCAAGAACACATTTATTTGTTTATTTTGTTTAACCACAGGTACTCCAGGTGGAGGAGGAAATGCGCCAGCTGCTTGAGGAAACTGAGAGTAATAAAAGGGTAATGGAGGAGAAAATGAGACGCCTCACACAAGTGCTGAAAGACTTCTAACCTCCTATCCATTACAAACTAAAGACAAAAACTTGGAAGATGCCTTTTTCAAGACTTATGTCAATGTCTCTCAGTCTGGCTGAGAACATATCCTGAAATTATTGTACTTCTGAGTGTCTAGCCTACTGTATTGCCTATTGTTTTTTTTGGCTTTATGCTTCAAATTATATAGAAAATTGCAGAAACTGTGAAACTTTTTTTTTTAATTACAAAATCATTCATAAATATATATATATATATATATATATACACACATATATTTGTATCTTTTTTCTAAAACGTTTGTACCTTGAGCATAAAGCAATATATACTGCACTTTTTTATATACCATAGGCTTTTTTTTTTTGTTTAAATTGTATAATTAAATTATTAACTCCTTGTTACGCTGTTTGTTTTGTAATTTTGGAGGATTATATTAAAATTTAAAAGTGTGTCGAATTCTCAAAGCATTTCAGTTGCATGTACCTCTTGTTCGAAGTCGAACGCTCAAGCAGAGACGTTGTCATAGTAACGGTAATCCAACGTCATTTCCTCTCATTTAAAAACCCTCGAGCCATCAGTAGAAGTGTAGCCTGAGGTAAATAAGTGCAAGAGATGATTGTTGCTCCCCCTCACCGTCACTAACAAAACTGAGGTAGACCTCCATACCTCTGAACGAGACAAAGAGGGAGTTTTTGAATTGCATCCCTAAAAACACCGGGCGTTTGGATGGTATGGCTGAGTCGAACAGCGCGAGTTTTCCTCACACGACACCGAACGGGTCCAGTCGCCATGAGAAGAGTTTGGGTCTCCTCACGGTCAAGTTCGTTACTCTGCTTCAAGAGGCCAAAGATGGAGTGCTGGATCTCAAAGTGGTGGGTTAAAATACATTTACAAGCGGCGGAATGAATGAATGAAACTCGACAGATTGTTCTGCGAGGACGTCTGTCAAGAGTTACACAAAGAAACTGTTCGTACCTGAGTGGACTTTCGCTGTCCTGTGAGGCTTTTACTCTCAGATTAGATATATACAGAAATACGTGTCTGGCTCGTTAAAAGTTTTAATGGGCGAATAGAATTGGCGTGTTATTGTGACAGAGGGGACTTTGAACAGAAACCCGTGGGAATCTCTCACGGCAGGTGTTTGTTACCTGACGCTTGAGGCAGCAGAGACGCACTATGAATCCACTGGAGACATTCCTGCTATTTTCCGTTAACGTGGAGCAAAATAGGGCCTTAAACGTTTTCTTTCAGTAAATGGTGCTTAACATCCAGAAATAGTTTCAAATAAGTTTTAAATGAGAGGTTTGAAATATATATATTAACCTTGTATATTTTTCATGCAGTAACACTACTACCATTGAATGCAAAATACATTTTATGTAAAACTTATTTATAGATTATTTAGAATAATAATAAAGATATTTTGGGCTGTTCTAATTTAAGGAATTTTTTCATTTCTTTTGTAATGTGGTAGATTTGTGCGGTAACAGTTGCATTAATATTATTATTTTTATTATCATTATTATTATTATTATTGAGTAATTATATTAGTTAATAATTTAAAAAATGGTTTTATTTCTATTTATTTACTTATTTTTGAAAACTTATTTATTTATTGTTTGTTTATTTATTGATATACTTCTTTCCACATATTAAATAAAATATTAGATCTTTTTTCATGCAGTAACATAACCAGCTGTTAATACTATTGAATGCAAAATACGTTTTATGTAAAAATTGAGAAAATTAGACTATTTCTAATGCAGTAGATTTGTAAGGAAACAGTGTTGCATCATCATCATCATCATCATCGTCGTCATTTAGTAATTCAGTTATTATTTAAAAAAATATAATTTTTTTTTGTTTTATTACTATTAATTAGTTTTAGTTTTATTACTATTTTTTTTATTTAATTTATTGAGTTATTTTAAAAAAATATTTGAGGATATGTGCCTCTGCTTTAAAAACATCATGGGACAACAAATTGGAATGTGCCTCATTTTGTTACTTTCCATTATATTCCCATCAGCTGTCATACAAGGACAGACAATGGAGATATTATGTGAATTTCGGTGCATGAGGTCGGTGTGACCAGTGCTAGCACACCTGCCCATGCTCATCATCATGGCACACTTACACATGATAAACTCTCCTGATAACGGTCGAGAGCTACTAAGTTATCTAAACCCATTTTCAATCTATATATCAAACCAAGCTATTGTTTGGTCCCCTAAATAGCCAGTTCCGCTTATCTGATTGGATGGTCTCTGAAAATAACATTGTGATTATTTTCATAGGCTGCAGACAGTTTGGCAGTCAAACAGAAGAGGAGAATCTATGATATCACCAATGTTCTGGAAGGCATTGGGCTCATTGAAAAGAAGACCAAAAACACCATTCAGTGGAAGTGAGTATAAAGATTAGGGAAGTTATCAATGTGCTATCAAATGTTTCCCTAATATTTTATATGCGTATTGTAATGTTGTGTGCATTCTTCGCATATTAATGTAATATGCTTGAGTTGTGTCATTCTCTAAAGCAGTTGCTTGTCTTAATTAGAGGGGAGAGTTCAGGCTGCCAGCCTCAGGAAGTTCTTGAGCAGGTAGAACTTCTCAAGGCAAATATTGCTGATCTGGAGATTCAAGAGAGAGAACTGGACATGCAGAAAGCGTGTCTGCAACAAAGCATCAAACACCTGAATGAAGACCCCTCCAGCTGCAGATATCCTTACTCGCAGTGTATCAGCCAGAAAAAGTTGTTTTGTCTTTATTCTCGTCTGATATTTTTCCATTTTTTGGTTGGTTCCCCTGGTAATTAACAGTCCCAGAAAAATGCCATTGTCAAAGGAGTGCACCTAATTACATGCTGAGTGCTATAACCTGGCCTTCTTTGACTGTGAGGTGTTATTGTTGGGTGTTTCAGTGGCCCCAGTCCAGTTTTTCCAGTCTCTAGTCTATTGCGGGTTCATGCTAGAGTTTCCTAAGCCTTACCCCACCAGTTATTCCTCTTTGGATTAAAGTGGTTTATGCAAAGTTCAGCCTTTTATCTCAAAACTTATAATGTCATGGAACAGAGCCTCTTAAGGGAACATGGTGATGGAAAAAATATGAAAATTATATATCAATCCTTTTGCCTTCTCTGGGAAAAAATATTGCCTCCCCTTAAGAAAATACATGTCTGTTTGATAGAACACAACAGCATTGAAATAATAATAAAAAAAGTTTCATCAAATTTTGCTTTCAGTTGCAAAGATTCTTGGGAGAACACAAAAGCAATGAATTACAATTTTTCTTCATTCTCTCTCTCTCTCTCTCTCTCTCTCTCTCTCTCTCTCAATAAAAAAAGAAAGCATTCACCCGAGAAACTTTGCTTGCGATTGCAAAACCATTGAAATATAGTTTTTCCTCTCATCTCATATTTTGTCAATCCTCAGTTTGTGTTTTTGCAAATGAATGCATGTTTCTCAGGAGAATGCAAAAGCACTGAATTATAATTTTTTCCATCTCACATTTTAATGGTTTTGCTTGCTCTTGAAAAAATATTGTGTTCCCCTGAAAAAAATTGGGTTTGCTTGGGAGATTATGAACAACCAAAATACTGAAATATAGTTTTTTTTTCCTCCCATCTCATGTGATGTTGTCTCTGTATCATGGGTACATTTCTATGTGGAAAAATGTACAAAAGGATTAAAGATAGATTGCATTATCACTTGGTACATGTTCCTTAGCATTGTATACATACAGCTACGTGACGCATGAGGACATATGTGATGCATTCGGTGGGGATACTCTTTTAGCTGTCATGGCACCATCAGGAACACAACTGGAGGTCCCAGTGCCTGAGATGGTACGTTACACCAACCTTGAGCTTATTCACCATTTATCCTTGAGAATAATTTTAGTGAATTTTACATTTATTTTTACAAGTGTTCATTTGCTTTTGTTTGCATTTTTTGGTTGTTCATAATCTCCATGCCTTTTTTTTTGTTGTTTCAGGGCCACAATGGTCAGAAAAAGTACCAAGTGAACTTGCGAAGTCACTCGGCTCCCATCCAGGTGATGCTGATAAACAGAGAGACGAGCTGCTCCAAGCCTGTTGTTGTCCCCGTGCCACCTGTAGATGACATTTATGCCATGCCGACTCCTCCTAGTACTCCAGCAGGAGTGCAGAGATTCCCCATCTCTTCAGCGGAGTTCTGTGACCTGAAGCGTGGGCCGCTCAAAAGCCCCTCTGCAGAGCACCAACTCACACAGTCCTCCACGTCACCCGACATGCACATGGGTACTGCTTTTATTCAAACATGCCCGTTCCTTAAGGTGTGATTGATATTTGTAGCACCAGTCATTATTCTCTCTGCATATAAAAATAGGATAGGAGAACATTTTTCATCAATGAAAAAATTACATACATCATCCTTAAATATATATGACATTTATATACAGGAGTTGAACAAAATAATGTGAACACCTAGGAAATAATAGGCAATACTTCTTTTTAAAGGTGTTTGCCACCATTTGTCTTTAATACAGCTTCCAACCTTCTTAGAATTGTTTCATATAACACTCTTTGGTGGATGCTGGCTTTGTGAAACTATATGTGGTGGGTTTTTTGTGGAGACACAGTCTTTGAGGTGAATATTGTGGTTGGCTGTCACTTTGTAGCAGTAGTTCTGTGTTTTGGACACAGTGCTTTTAGTGTTTGATGGTCCCTATCATTCACTTTTAGTTGTCCACCACTATTCTTCACTGATGAAGTCTTGCTATGTTTTGTGTACACAGTCAAAATGGTAAAGACTGATGTTCTTAAAATGCAAAAATAAGTTTACAGATGCTTCTGGTACACAGGCTTCCATGATTTGTTGTTTTTGGAAGTCTGACAAATCACCCATTTCACAGAGCACTTGTACTAAACACTGCTGAACACAATGAATACTACTCTGATTTACAAACTAGAGAATATAGATGAAAAGATAAATAAAAAATCATTTGTGCAGGCTACAGTGAAAAACAAACATTGTGTATATATTAACCCCTATATATATAATGGGTGTTCACATTATTTTGTCCAACCACTCTATTTATGATTATACATCCATATACACTACTGTTCAAAAGTTTGGGTTCAAAAAAGTCTTACCGATCCCAAACTTTTCAACTGTATTGTATATCAGATTTTATACAACATTTGAATATGACTGATTTTATTTGTGTATTTTTCTTCTTCTCTCCTTTTTTCTTTTTAAAGAATGCAACTCTGAGTCCCCTGTCAGTCAGTGTTTGTTGATGCAGGGGTCTCTAGGTGGTCCTGAAGAACAGCAGAGGGAGATGGGGGGTCAGGATCTGCAGTCCATGCTGGAAGAAATGAGGGATGAGAGAGAAGGTGACATGGATTCCATTATAACAATATACGATTTTTCCAAAGCAGTTATTTAAAAATGAAAAAAAAGGGTTATTTTTGTATTTTCAAGAAGAACATTTACACTTGCCTTTTTCTTCTTCCTCCAGGTGTTTCTAACCTCATTGATGAACTGATGTCTTCAGATGGTAAGTTCTTAAATGTTATCCAGTCATTTATTTGCATCAGTGCTGGCCTTCTGCACAGCCCCCTTGTGGTCACACAGAACAGCTTCTTTTGGTTATATTTGTTCTGACTTGAAGCAGTTCACTGCCGTCCTTATCAATTAATCATACAGCTAGTAGTGCAGATAAATCTTTTTAATATGTCCTGACCAGAGGAGGGTGGGTTACAACAGCTGAGTGATGGTTCCTCTCAAGGTTTTGTTCTCCTATGCATGCCAGTTTTTCCTCAGCACTTTTGCCTCTGGATTGATGTTTTATGGCATTGATTATATTATGCAACCTTGTTATGAGTTCATTTAAGTTGTGAAAGGTATAAAAATAAAATTGGAAATCAATTGTTTTTTTTAATAATCACCAAAAGAATTTGTATGCATATCTAGTTTTATATATATATATATATATATATATATATATATATATATAAAATACACTACACACACG